TGTAGATTTGTCTTGACACGAAGGTGAAGCTCAAACAGGTACTTGGAAGATGCAAGCAAAGCGTGTGTTATAACCCCTTTCTATTTGTAAACTTTTGGAAACATTGAGCAAATTATGCCTTGTTAAGTAAGGCATTTCCAACTTTGCTGTTAGGAGGCAGTACAGCTTACTCAACAGGACACTGACCTCAGCTCAGATGTCTGGCATCTATTCCTTTCTCAGCTGCTGTGAGAAAATGAATCTGTCATTTCATCTCTGCATGCCCCTTTCATCCTTCAGTCCCTCTTGTCTGTTTAGAGTGTGTGTTGTGAACTGCAGTCTTTTCTCTTTGGAAAGGTGTGTATATGCCACAAAAAATAATGGAGTGGCAATTCTGTCAGGTCCTCTAGGGACTGTTATAAAGAAACCTGAAAAAGTTACATGCTTTTTTAGAAATCATTGGCATATTAACTTCACTGTATAAGGCAATGTTCATGCAGAGGTCAGTGTCCCAGAGATCTAGCTGTAATATTGAAGACCCAGGACGCCCAAGAGAGGTTATAGAAACAGTGGGGATTTTCCCATTGTATCTGAAAGATTGATAGCACAGCTGTGAAGTTCACTTGAAAGCAAAGGCAACTGGGAAGCTATTGATAGGACTCTGTAGCAAACATGTACTGACTCCACAACTGATATTTGACTTCCTTTGGCAATTGGATGCTGTTTGGGGTATAAAAAGAAAAGAAAGAAAATGCAGGGAGGAGTGTAATGCAAAATGTTTTAAGATGTAAAATTACTCTGAAGTTACTGCATGCTTTGCATGCTTTCTCCCTTGAAGATATCTGTGGTTTATGGAACACGGTTTTATGGAAACCGCCTTTCTATTCATTTTGATAATCATTATCTGCTTTTCCAGTATTTTTTTGCACAAATGACAGTAATTTGAGTACTTAAATATCTGGCAATAGAGATTCATTCTAGTTATGACAGCAGTGCTTATGAAGGCAGTAGTGCCTTACAGAGTGTGACAAGCAGCAGTGGTCATCATTGACATGCCCATCATTCTTTTTGTGGTTCATGCATCCTTTTACCTCAATAGCAGCATCTCATCTTCTTAAGCTGGCAATAAGACCTTGTCACTTTATTAATGTGTGAAGAATTGGTGTTTGATATGAACACACTGTAAGGAAATTACATCCTTATTATCAGCTAATGAGTGTTTGCATTGGGCATTTCATGCTGAGATCAGAAGCTAGAAGGAATGGACTGTATTTCAGAATTCCTCAATGTGTGCGCATTTTCATCAAGACACTCTTACATAGCTGATTACTAAAAACACATGGTCAGTATGAATTAACAAAGCAGCTGCTTTAACCTGCCTTATGCAGCACATCAAACCAAGTGTGACATAGCTGTTTATGCAGAGAGGTCATCAAATGAGTTCAAGACAGGAATGAACTTTAGAATTTTTTTAATGTTGTGTGAATTCTGGGAGATGTCTGCAAGACCCAAGGCACCATGGGTTAGAGTGACACAGGATGGCTGTGTTTGGCAGGCACCCCTTGAGCTTGCCTAGTCCCATTCCCCCTGCTCAAGCAGGGTCAGCTGCACCAGGGTGCTGAGCACCATGATCTTTCAGGCTTTGAATATCTCGAAGGATGGAAGCTCTGCAGCCCCTCTGGGCAACTTGTCCTAGTGATTGACCCTGGGGTATCACCAGTAGTACTTGATAGCTGCTGAGCAGTAGCTTTTGCATTAAATTAGGTAACTGAGCTGTGCTAAATAGGGTTTTCTGTCACATTTTAATGGTGCTATGAATTATCTTTGTATTATTTATTGAAGCTTTAAATTATTTATTTTTTTCTGGTTTTAATTTCCAGTATTTTTGATGCATTCAAGTAATATGTATGGAATTTTTGGCAGCAGATTTTTACTTTCCCTCTTTTCATGCCACAGCACCTATTATATCCAGCTACAAGCACTTTCTCACTGATCTCCTTTTTGGTCAGCAGTATTCCTCATGTGATTTGCATCACGGTAAAAGTTAACAGACTGGAAAAGGACACTTAAAGAGGGTTGTTTGGCAAACATTGCCTTTTTTTCTTTATGGCTGCTCTTCAAATGCAGGAATAAGAGCAAAGTGCATAAAATGTGACAGTGTAGCACCTAGCCCATCTCTTGGTTTTCTGTCCAAGTATTGGTTCCACCTGGAAATCAGAATTAGATATATGGTACACACCTACCTAACACCACCCAACTGAGGGTTTTTAAGTACTTAATTAAAGCTTATGGACTCTTTCAAAGCTGTATGCTGTTGCCTTTCTAGGTGGCTAGCATGGACATGGGTGAATAATTTATAGGTCAGACATGACTCCTCATCTCTGTTACTTTACTCCTAGCTTGGTAAAAATAAGCCCCCATTTGTTATTGACTGTTGTTCCTGAGACAAATGTTACATAAAAACAATAACAACAACAAATTATGCTCACAGCATTGCTTCTTCTGTTCGATTTTTAGAACAGGGGCTGAAGGTCCCCATGGACTTTATTGAGGTAACCCAGCCTGCCTGCAGTCTGCAGGGCCCTGCAGAACTTCCCTCTCCATGGTCACTGCAAGGGCTGCTCTCATCGAATGCTGGGTGTTTGCTGGTGAGAGGGCACTCGTCAGTGCCCCACTGCAGCCTGGCAGCCTCTGGCAGCAGAAATGTCTGCAGGCAGCTGACACCAGCATGGAGGAACCTCAAGTGGATAGAAGAGACTTCCTTGCAATGAAAATTGCTTGCAGTCATAGCTGTGCCCCAGAGCGCTTCATGTCCAGGGGTTTCCGTGAGGCCCTCAGCCGTAAACTCTTCCTGTGCTCAAAGCCAAGAACATGAATTTTCACTTTGGTCTCTAATTACAGAGGATAAAACTGCTTTCTTAGTGTCTTTTCCTTAGTCTCTCGAGATGTTTGCAGGTCACTGGCTTCAATGCTAGCCCACAACGTGACAGAGACAGCACAGCCAGTTTGAGAACCTTTTGATTTTCTTGCACTGTAATTGCTTGATGTCAAAGTCAATAATTTGCTGATTTATAAAATCCATTCAGAGAAAAAAAATATCTTTTCCAGTGTTTCAGAGACTTAAACAGGACAAAGCAAAGGGTGTTTGCTTTTTTCCACTCACAGGAATAAAGTGCTATTCTGTAAATCCATAGTTACTCTGATTAGTGGAATTTCTACAATAAAATCTGGGCAATTTTTGTCTTGAGTCTTACAGAAGTGCTCAAAAGCAGCAATGGAGTTGCCTCAACAGCTTAACTTGTAATGTGTCTGTAGTACAGAAGTCCATCAATTAAAGAATGTATCATTGTTCAATCCTTTTATGATTGCATATATTTAAAAGGATTCAGAAGAAAATTTTAGAAGTGACTATGACTTGACATAAATTTAATGCTAAAATTATTAGAATATAATTCAGCACCTATAACGTACCTAGTGACTTCTGTGGGATTGCAATGCTTCAAGTCAGAAGCAAATAGGTCATTTAAGAACAAGGTGTGCTTCTTAAAATGAAATCAATCACAATACTCTATAACTTTACACAATAGCACTTGGTCTTTCTGCTTATCATCTCTCTTATGAAAAGATCTTCACCTTGGATGGAACTGAAATGCATTAACTTTCTATTCCATCTCACTAAAATAGCAGTCAACTGAGCCATCCAAGTCAGTCTCCATTACAGCAAGAGAAACATGCCTGTTACCCACAGGGAGAGCTAGACTCCGTTCTGAACAATTGTTTCAGTGATCAAAAGATATGTATTATAGGAATGTACAGTTATGCTGTGGGAAATTTTGCTTTCATTCTCTTCAGAGGCTTCAGGCATCTCAGGAAAACCAAGAAAAATTATAACAGTAAGTCTTACAAGCACACATCAGTTTATCAAAGCCCTCATCATCTGATACTGATTTCTACTGCATGTAAATAAATATCTCAATAATTTATGTACTTCATCTTTATAGTCAAACGGTCCTGGGTTTTTTTCCTTCTTACTTGGCATGACAGGAGTATCCTCAGTCTGTGTTTCTGCCCATAGCCCATAACTCTTACTTGTGAATTCACACAGTTCTCTGGGTTTGTTGACCAAGAAAGGAGTGGGTCTTCTGCTGAGTCCTTCCCTGGGAGCTGTGCTTTTCCTAGCCCTGGTCAGGGAGCAGGACAAAGGAATCAAGGCAAAGAAATTGCAAGGAGTGAATAAGTGTGTCTGTGTGTAGGGGGGGGGGGGGGAATATCAAATTTACTTATTATCAACATTTGATGTAGAATTCTGTTAATGTTGGAATGGTTGTTGACATTACAACAAAGCTGATGGAGGCTGATAAAACTGGAGGAGAGGCAGAGGTGGTGAATTGGGAAAGAAGGAAATTCAAGGGAATAGGGGATTAGAGAGGGTCAATGGGTACTGGAGCAGATAATAGCCAGGATAAGAATCCTCTGCCAGCATCTCTGCTGCAGCTCCTAGTTGGGTGGCAGCCTCTATAGCTCTCTGGGATAACCCAGATTATCTGGAAACTTGTTCTGGAACAGCACATCCTTGTGATATAGAGGGGCTCAAAAGCAGAAGCAAATTCCTAAGTGTTCCCCAACACAAGTAACAGCAGGGAAAGAATTCATAAATCAGTTGTAACTCATCAGTGGAGAACACTGTGGTGGTTACTGTAGGGATTTTCCTGCTTGAACTCTGTTAGTTTCAGAAGAAAATGGATGCATACTGTTGCTGAGGAAACGAGTCTCCCAGGGGAAGCTTGGCTTTTCCCCAGTGTGAATTTTTGCTGCCTCATGCTCACACAAGTCAGTTAACCTAAAACCTATAAACTGCACATGGTATGGCTCTGTACAGTTATTTTATTTCAAATGTATTATGAATTTTATACAGTTGCATGTGGCTTTAATCATTAACACCCAAGGAACACATTCAAGTTTATATTCCTCTTTAAATATTTGTATTCCTATAATGGAACTTTGCCCATTTTTCTTTGTAGGTGCCAGCTTGTATAATGACATCAATAAATACTTCTGGTTTCATCATTCTCAAGGGGACACGATGACAGTTCAGGATCCAAACCAGATGAATCTCTGTGCTGCTGTTTGGACTGTTGTCTCCTATGTAATTGCTGACATGGAGGATATGTTGCCAAGGTAATAAAACAGCAAGAAAGAAGATTTCTGTTCTTCAGTAAAGATTGTAAGTCCACTAATGCATGTGGAATGTAGCTGTAGTAAATTGTACTACCCTTGGTTTTCTGTTTTATTATTTTATCTGTTTTCCTCAAAACACGCTCTCTTTTATGCATTCCTGCTTCTTTTTGCTGTTTTGATCTCTTCCATTTGTGATTTTCACTTAAATGTATTCCTTTAAGTACTTGTTATATTTTAAATGAAGATATGATACCTCTTTGATATGATGGTTACTATGATATAATAACCATTTGTATGCACAGTGATCTTGTGCAGCAGGAAAAATATACCAAATAAATTTTTTGCATCAGAATAGTGTATTGATTTTGTGTTCACGTTTACTGGTTTTGTTTCTGTCTTTCTTCTATGCATGGAGATTATGTACTATTAACTAAACAGCTCTTTCTTTTCACTGTTTTAAGGTAGTACTGTAGTTTCTAGAAGCTTTCAGGTTATAGGGCAAATTAATTTCATCTTTTTTTTAATGCTAATATATGGTAGAATGGTCAAATTATAGTCAAAATGCTAAAATAGTATAATAGCTTTACTCAGGTCCATTTTTAGGTCTTATGAGAGGTTCACCAAAGACTCAGATAAACCAAGACACAGAGGATATAAAGAGGATTCCCATCTTTCCTGTGTTTTTTTGGGCACCTCCTCATGGAAAGCCATGTGTGTCTTTTTCTTTCTCATGGAAGACTCTCCATCGTGACAGGCAGAGAATTTCATGTGGCAGTTTTTCTATGAAATGCCATGTTTCAGAAACAACACACAGCTGTGATTTGTGACCTTCAGTACTTGCCAGCTGACATCCAAACAAAATGTAAGAGCAGATTTTGATTCAGAATCCTGAACCCATTTCTAGGTGTCCCTCGCTTGCAGGGATGGTCTCCCTGAAGCTGGGCTAGAGGATGCTGGTACAAATTTACTTTGATGGAGGGATTAACCTGGGAATTTGATTCTTATAGACTTTGTTGGTTTGGGGTTTTTACTTGCTTTACTGAGATGATGAATATTCAGATGAGTTTCAGGCATATCTGGAGAGAGGATATAACTGGTCTTGGGGAATATTTTAAGGCGTATGATTGCTGCTCATTTCCTTGTGACGTGATCCTTGTTTGTCATTTTAGATTTTACAACAAGCAAGCTTAGTGTGTGAATAACTGCTGCAATGTAGTCAGAACCAACTAATGTTACAAACATGGAGCATTATACCAAATATCAGGCAGTCCCTAGTGCTGTTAATCAGTTCTGCTGTTGAGCAATAGCTGAATCATGAGCAATTCATTTTTATAGAATTCATAATCATGGTATCTGTTTACTGTGATTATAGCTGTTTTCCATCAAATTTATTAACTATTTCAATATCCCCTCCAAATCATTACAAGAGCACAAAAGGTGCCTGGAGATACACTGCTCTATCTTTTTAAAGAAATAATGTTGAAATAAAGTTAGCAAAGATTTCCTCTGCTTTCAAGGTGTGGTGCCTGTGTTTCTTTTTGTTTGACAAGAGTATACTTGGAGGTGCTCACCACTGACAGAGCCTCAGCTGTCTCCAAATCCAGCCTTTTGTCCTTCACACAATGTGACTGGCTGTTTCCTGAATTATTATTCCATATTGTTTTCCCTCAGGGTATCAGTCTTTGTACATCAGAAATTCAGAAGGATGTTCTGTGAAGTTACCTATATTGTTGCAAATCTTAACCTGTGCTCACTTGGAAATTGTGTTTATTTGTGTTTTTCTGCATTGCCTCAAGTCAAACGGAAAATCTCTGGAGTCAAGAATACTCTGCAGAGAGGAGAATAAAACCACAAGTGTGCACATGGCACCACAGCACATGTCAAGATGTGCTTGTCAGCTCCTAAGTAAGAAAATTAACCATTCCCAGGCCAAAAGGAACACAACTATGTAAGACAGACTGTAAAAATTAAGACCATGATGACCCTGAAGAAAATGCAACCTTCATGTCAGGTTCAGATACACAGCTCTAAAGAGAAGCATTGATTTTGGAAAAAAATGTTCAAAAATCAAAACTGCCATGTTATTTTAATAGAAATAATGAAAATTAAAATACTTGATTTCTGAAATTAAAAAAAATTATTTATTTACTTGTAAAACCAGATTTCATTAAAGTAAGATATTGTGTCTGATTCACCTTTTTTTTCTGATGTGTATTAGTTCTCAGACCTAAAAATTCATCTGTTCACAGTAGTCTCCTGGTAATCTGCCAGTTCAGATGTACCTCTCTCAAAACTTTCCATAAGTGAGTAGATGCTAATAAATTTATTTTCTTTCCCAGTGGATTTTTGTACCATCTGTGCAATAGCTTATCTTTACCAGTGCTCAGTGTAGCATGTAACGATTATGTTATTCCAATTAGTGGCCATTAAACATGGATCACTTGGTCAATTTTCAACTCAAGAGCACTTCTGAGGTGATCCAGGTAGGCCAACATAACTTTTCCTTCCATTCACATGCCATTAGTCTTTGAGAATCTTTCTCAAATTTTAATTGAGAAAGTAGTACCTTAGGACATTATTTATATTACTATTATTGTGAGAATCACCTGCCATAAATCTGTGCTTATGATAAGTAATTTGATAATGTTCTAGGTCAAGGGGACCATGGGTGTATTTCCCTCCAATAAACATTTGAGGTTTTGCCTGCAAAGATCGGTGAGGTGAGAGCTGAAAAATCAGCACTAGCGTTTAAATATATGTCAAAAATTTAAATTTCAAATAATAATTTTCCTCAAGGTATTATAAATCTCTTACATCTGCTGAGAAGGGAGGCCCCTGGGTAGTCTTCCTTTCAGCTACAACTTGAAGCTTTCAGACATAGTTACAGAGGGATGAGGCCAATACATAATTAATTTACCTGACTAGACTATAGTACAAATGCTGATGAAAAATCTGTTTTCAATATTGCATAATGGAATGTAAGTAATTTTGCCAGGTAATAAAAGAAGAATTGTAGGGTAGGTTTGCTTTTGTCCTTCATTGTGCCAAGACAATAGTGACATTTCACTCTCTCTTTGAATGATTCTATTCTATGTGTTCTCACAAGACTTTTAGCCCCCTTAAAATAATTAAAAACAGAGAGTTGAAGCAGTGCTGATTCTGCTCCTCCATTACAAACATCCTTGGCTGTGTATTTAGTTAGTATGCTTCCCCCATGGCAATTTGAGACACTTCCATTTACCATAAGTAAATATCAAACTGATCTTGATATCTATATCTGTCTCATGAAATATACATGCCATCTAAATGTGCCCAAATGATTAATTTACTGCTGTGTAATGATTAGCATAAAAATCTCATCACTGCACAGGATAGAAATGTTGCCACTAATTGCTGGTTGGAGTGAACAATGTTTTCTGCATAGAAGTTAATGATGCATTGCAGATCTTGAATGGGAAAACTCAAGACTTTCTGGGAGAGAAGATTTTTGTCCCTTCTTTTGCACTAAATCTTAGGAGACACTGATCATATATAACAAAAAGGGATAGATATAATGTAATAGATATGTATAATAGAACGGAAATTACACCTTTTGTAGTCTTTTACTACAAATACACGGAAGCACTGACCAGACACACACTGTGGACTTTTTAATGGTCATTATTCTAGAAACTCCAGCTTTTTTTTGCACAAGGTTATGGCCAGCTATGGGCCTGTGATTTGTAGGTACAAGTGTTTAATAAGTGCATTATGCTAGCCCCTGATTAAGGTTTCAAATGCCTGTCTTCTTGATAATCGTGTTTGCACTTGGAGGAGGGGCTTTGATGATGGCCTTATATCTAACTCTGTGTCCAGCTTGCAGTTTGATTTCACTGCAGGACAATTCAACCTCCTGTAGTTTATGTTAAGTTTTTTCTTCTGGAAGGTTTTTTATGTTTTCCTTTATTTCTCAGCACTTGTACTGTGTAGTAGATATTAGGAATGACTAGCTGACAAAAAAAATCTCTGTATTTTGTGCATTAGGGCTCAGGAACTGTGCGATGCAATTGAGATGACTCAATTGCACATAAGCACATGGTAAAGAGCTCCACCAGGGCCAACATTTGCTATTATCACTGACTTCTGTTACTGGCAGACAGGGCTTTGTGATCAATGCAGTGAATTTTTATCACCAGTCATGGTTGTCTCCATAACTATGTGAAAATCAGGCTTATGAAAACTAAAGAGGGAAGCTCTGGAAGAGGGACCACAAAAGCCACAAAAAGAGCCAGGTTATACTGACTCAGGAACTGTGGCTTCAAGGACCAATGTTTGACTCTGCTTTGCTGTGTGAGTTGGGGGAGCACTACCTAAAGCTCCCTCAGTTCCACTGTTAAATGTTGCTAGTGGTGTTTGGTGCTGGTGGTGTAGCCCGATTTAACAACACTGTGTTAAAAGACATGCTGCAAGCAAAATCTACATTCATAGCAGAGGTGAGATTCAGCTGAAGGAGAGTAATAAAAACTTAACACCGTCCAGCTACATGAGAGTTCACCTGTAGAATGTGTCTTTTAGTAATTGCTGATTGCATTTGCAATACTTGCATTATTCACATTATTTGCATTAGTATTTGACATGAAAAACAAAATTAAATAGTCCTCCTTCAGATACTGCCATTTCAAAATAGACTTTGGACATCAGACATATCATTTTTAAATCAATGGTTCTTTGCATCTGGGAATGATGTGGGACAATTATGTGTGCAAAATGATCACACAAAATGCCATCTATATGTATAATTTCACTACATTGAACTGTCACACACATACTAAGTATTTCACAGAATCAGGGGCCACACACTGGGGCAGTTTGGGAAAAGGGATTAGGTTAAATTATTTCCCAACAGTCATGCAGGCAGGCAGTCCTAAAGCTAAGTATAGTTTAGTTTCTGCTTCAGCCAATCTGCGCTGCCCATAAATGAGTTGCTACTTTCTTTTTATACCACTGATAAAACTTTGAAGCTGAAGTGTAAAATTTTGTGCAAAAATGACACTTTCTACTTGTTATAGGCAATGTATGCAGACTGAACTATTGGGAAAGTCTGCAAAACTGATTTCACTGAGGTTCTTTGTGACTCAAATTATAATCTGTGGAATATGTCAGTTTAAGCTTTGTGAGTGTGATTATGTAATATTTTCTTATTCTAAATTGTCTATATATTTTGTTTCTTCTAGAGATATTATGTCAGTAATACAGCTGCAGAGAATTCATATAATTTCTTGTACTTAAAAGCAAATTTCACAATTCTTTTACTCTTCATCATTTTTTTATTTTGCTTTAAATTTCTGTCACTGGGACAGAAAGAAAGGTTTCACAAATTTTAATATGAGACATAACAGAGGCTCATGATTGTTCAAAAGTAGATAACAAAATATTTATAGCTTTTAATAAAGTGTCATGCTGATCTTTCCATGGCTATTATTGAGCTTTAGCTCATCAGGAAGATGAGTTTAACAAGAGAAATTGCTAGAAAGGGAGTCATGAGACATTTAACCATGGAAAGTTAAATGTTAATGCTTTACCCCTCCAAATTGTTCATGAAGAAGTAGAGAAAGCTGTAAATACCCACATGAAAATGCTTGATTGTCTTCAGCAGTGATTCTCAGTGCTGCATAGAAGGTATTTTAAGTCTCTATAATGTAGCCTGAACCCTAAACATGAAATGCTGAGATATAAACACACATTAGTTGTGAATTCCTATATTCCTTTTTCTCAATGTAAACAGGATGCAGCTCTATTGGGAATTCAGCTTAGCTTTGGTATTGCTGTCCCTCTAAGCAGGACTGCCCCAGCTGTGTAGTGAGCCTGTTGGAAGGGTAAGTATGGGCAGCAGAAGAAATTAGTTAAAATGTTGGTCTTGTTAGAACTTTCTAAAACAATTAAACTGTGGGAGGGTTAATGCACAAATGCCTTTAGTTTGTTAACAGCTGAATTTAGGTTTCAGCATGTGCAGTTGTTGGAACTCTTCTTTCCTCTCATAATCAGTAGAGTCTTTATAGGTATGAGAAGATAGTAAATGAAGTAATTCAGTAGTCTCTGTATAAGTATCACGTATATTAGACCACAGCCCAAGTTATGAAAAATGTAACTTCAATTAACATTTATCAAAAGGAACTAAATTCTAAATATGAAGAGAGGATTAGTTTCCAAGTTGTTAGAAGGAAACAGATGTGCTAGAAGGACGTTACTTTCAATACGGCAAAATCTCATTTCAGGTGTTCCACATACTGTACTTGCATAGAACTCTTAGGAGGAATTAGAGAGGATTTGCATAGCTTTCTCTGTTGAACAAAACTCCAACAGTGCTTGCTGGCATCAGTGGAAGCTGCCCTTCCAGAGACCCTCTGCTTAGGGAGTTGTCCACCCCTATGGCACTGGGGATACCATATTCCCTGAACTATGTACACTTGAATTTATGGGGTGAGGACCAGAAGCATTTATTGGGAATGTTCTGCAAGAAGTGTGTGACACAGCTGTTCTTGACACCACATCTTCATATGACAAGCAAATAGTGAACCAGCTGTTGGTAGCTCAGCCACCCTCTGAGCCCGTGTGGTTCTGTGGGATGTGTGATCCCTCCAGGCTTCACTTGGAGGAAGATTGCTGATGAGAGTCCAGGTGTGTAGTTGACCTTTTTCTATACCAAGAATGTGGGATTGTCATCGAGAATCTTTCTGCTCATGACCTGGATGCAGAGGACCTGTGCACCC